TGACTGCAATGCTGAACGGGCAGTCTGTCCGTGCGCACACCGGCCCGTTCGGCAGTGATCTCTCGATCATGTTAAAAACCAGCCGAAAATCGTACGATTCTCGCCTGGTTTTCCAACATGCTCGAAATATAAAAGTCGTGCGACCGTACATTAGAACCGGTTGCACGCCTTCCATACACTGCACGATTCTCGTACGATCGCGGGATTTCCCGCGATACCCGTACGAGAATCGTGCAGTGTATGGGCACCTTTACACCTTCCGTTCTCCAGTAAGCCCCAGGTTTTACACCTTGCCTCAATGTCAATTTAGTGCAGGTGAGGCAAACAGATAGTACTCTAGAGCATGGGGAGCAGATAATCTGAATCTGCGGGAGCACAAGGTTGGTCACTGTGATTTTGTGATGCCTGACAAACAATAGGTTTATGCGGGCTGATAGTCAGGACTATCTTATGTGTAGTTAGTGCCGGGACACGGCTAGGATTTTGTTTTGAATTGTTGACTTAATTTGAGCACTGTATATAGCCTGTGTAATGCAGCAATAAATGCACCACTATTTGAAGAAAGGTCACTGGACTGGTCTCTAAGCCTCTCAAGATTGCTCACCCCAGGGAGCAATTGCAACCGCTACCTATTCCCCAGCTCACACCATGTACACACCATATTATCTATATAAGAGAGATAAATTCTGCGCTCCTGGAGCTACCTAGGTTAAACTTGAGCCTAAAGCTGCTATGAGATGAAGGGGATAAACCGCCTTAATAATAGATGAAAAGTGGGAGACACAGCGCTAAAAGTTAACTTAATAATATAATTATATAATCAGTGATTAGGAAATTCTAAGTGTGAAAAATTATGTGTTCTTTAAGTGAATAATATGTAAGGAGAGCTGTGTCTTCACACAGTCCTAGAACACAAAGATCATTAATATAGTAAATCAAGAGAAAATTGGTGTGTAGATATGTGAAAAACCATCAATCATTGATCAAGATTAGATATGAAAAAATGTTAAGACGGAAAGAAAAAATGGTTGTGACAAAGGAAAACAACGAATGAAAAATAAAAATCAGTTGTGTTGCAAAATATAAAAGTTTAAACGATGATAGAAATATGTGTTAATTAATTGTCAAACAAAAAGTGAAAAGTAAACGAAAAAATGGGTTGTGAATCAGTGGAAGATATTCAAAATGTAATTAGAAATCACCGGTGACAATATCAGCTTCTATAAAACAACTGGAGGATAATATATTATAAGCGGAAAGTAGCAGCAAAAAGCAAAGAGACCACCAAAACAACAATCAACAGACTGTATCTATTTTGGGATGATCTCTTAAGTAGCAATCTGGGGATGTAAATGTCAATCAGAGGTAACAGTATTTTAGTGTGCGGTATTGTGAGTCGCCAAGAAGGAAACCAAAAAAAAACGAATCTTTGTAGATCTCTAACTCCGGCGGCCCCCTTGTATTAGGTATTCACCAAAATGTAGCTGTTCGTAGCTGTTTCAGGTCCACGATCCTGCCCCGATTTGGACGGTGTTCTTCCCGCACTGGAACCAGGCAAAGAGGGAGTTTGTTCTCGGCGGTGCTGGAGCTGTCTTTCAGACCCCGAGGCAGTTTTCCTTGAGCGTGGTGCCGACAATCATTCACTCAGAGTTTCCACAACGTTTTCAGGATTTAAAAAAAGAGAATCCTCGTGTAATAAGTAAAAGCAACATAATTTATTAAAAGTAGTAACTTACATGTAAAAAAACACAAATCCGGCCGACACAGCAGCTCAGGGATAGCAGTTAAAAGCTCCTCGTGTGTGAATGAATCTGCCTTTTGACGTGTTTCGTCATGTGACTTTTTCAAAAAAGGCAGATGTACGATCTGCCCATCTGGGACAGATCGTACATCTGCCTTTTGTTGCTTTTACTTATTACACCATGAGAACTCTTCTTTTTTTTAAATCCTGAAAACGTTGTGGAAACTCTGAGTGACACACTAAAATACTGTTACCTCTGATTGACATTTACATCCCCAGATTGCTACTTAAGAGATCACCCCAAAATAGATACAGTCTGTTTTTGCTGCTACTTTCCGCTTATAATATATTATCCTCCAGTTGTTTTATAGAAGCTGATATTGTCACCGGTGATTTCACACATTTTGAATATCTTCCACTGATTCACAACCCATTTTTTCGTTTACTTTTCACTTTTTGTGTGACAATTAATTTAACACATATTTCTATCATCGTTTAAACTTTTACATGTTGCAACACAACTGATTTTTATTTTTCATTCGTTGTTTTCCTTTGTCACGACCATTTTTTTCTTTCCGTTTTAACATTTTTTTTGTATCTAATCTTGATCAATGATTGACGGTTTTTCACATATCTACACACCAATTTTCTCTTGATTTACTATATTAATGATCTTTGTGTTCTAGGACTGTGTGAAGACACAGCTCTCCTTACATATTATTCACTTAAAGAACACATAATCTTTCCCACTTAGAATTTCCTAATCACTGATTATATAAGTATATTATTAGGTTAACCTTTAGCGCTGTGTCTCCCACTTTTCACCATATTATCTATGCCCATAGATTTCAGCTTGTGTATTAGGCATTTATGTTGTACCGTGTCAAATGTTTTGGCAAAGTCCAGATATACCACATTCAGAGGCGGCTCTCTAATTAGGCAAGTTAGGCAGTCGCCTAAGGCCTCGCGCTCGCGGGGGCCTCGCGGCTGCCTAACTCACCTAGTCTGCAGCAGGACTGGTGCTGTGAGGGGACGGAAAACACACACCTTTGTCTGCGGGTTCAGATAAAGGACTTCATTCTACACATCCTCCTGCTGGGACTCCGCTCAAAGCTCAGCCTGTGTCAGTGCAGCAGCTGCAGCGAGAGCAGAAGTGGGAGAGAGCCGGCACATGAGGTAGCGTGCGGCATGAGGAAGGAAACCGTCCGGAGCGGCTGCGGTGGACTCACCGCTGAGCATGGGGACAGGCAGCTATAACGGGACACTCGCAGTGGCGGATGCAAGGGTGGGGGGTCGAAGGGTATAGCCCCGAGAAAATGGCCGCTCCTTTGACTTGTCATTTCACTGGCCGACTGTTGCACCGACAAATCACGGCGAGAGGAACAAACAAAAAAAGAGACCAGGTGAGCTCTGTACCCAGGGGGGAAATGGACACAGGCGGTGGTGGGACAGAAGTGGGCACAAGTGCAGAGAGAGCTGGGGGGGTCAGTGGCAGAGCTGGGGGGGTCAGTTGATACACATGGTTGTGGGCAAATTTTTAATTATTGCTTGCATTTTTTAAATTATGGGTGTAAGTGGGGCCTTGCGTTTTAGTTTCGCCTAAGGCCTCACAAAGTCTAGAGCCGCCTCTGACCACATCCACTGGCCTTCCACCATCCAGATCTCTACTCACCTCTTCGTAGAATGTTAGTAGGTTGGTCTGACAAGAACGGTCCTTCCTAAACCCATGCTGATTATTACTTATTATACCATTTGTCATGAACAAAATTCACTCAATAGTCTTTTATTATTCCCTCAAACAGTTGGCATACTATTGATGTTAAACTGACTGGTCTGTAGTTCCTAGGTTGGCATCTTGAACCTTTTTTGAATATTGGTACTACTGTTGCCTTTACGCCAATCACTTGGTACCCTTCCAGTCAGTATGGAGTCCTTGAAAATGAGGAATAATGGCCCCGCTATAACCTGGATAATGTCATGGATGTTGAAGCCCAGGTGCTAAGAGAAAGAGGTCCTCTTGACTATTATCTCTGCCATGCCCAAGGCTTGTAAACAGACCTCTTACAAGATAGGCAATGCACTTGAAAGGCTTACTTTCAGTGGTGCAGGTCTCAACTCTCATTCTTCAGGTTGGAGTATATTAATGTGTGCCACATCCATCCCTTGGAAACTGCCCTCTGCTCCCATGATGTACTCCCAGCTGTCAGTCTTTACCTGAATGCAACCGCAGCTTCCCTCCCCATAGGAAGTTAGCTTTCTTGCATCATGCCACATATCTGCTCTAGGGCTAATTTGGCTTCTGGTGCAACCATCTCAAGTAGGACCAGCAAGTCTATTTTTCAGGTATATGCCCTGAAACCTCCCACTTACTACCATAGCAGTAAGTGCTGCCTGTGGCCTTTGGCACCAGACTCTGGTCTCCAAGGCAGCAACCTATCCATCCACACCATTACAAAGTTTTTCAGGATGGATGCAGCATCCATCCTGTA